TGTGCTCTCAATATAATAAACTTGACTATGACAGATAATATAAAAAAGAATTTTTTTTTACCTATTAGACATGGTAGCATTAATTATGAGAGTATCATTATTAGTCAGCCGTTGAATAGTCTGATCAGAAAATTCTTTGTACTTTTTATGTATGTGTTCGAAAAACAAAATTTTTTCTTTTTGCTCTTCAGGGAGTGGGAATTTACAAACATGAATACAGAATTGATTGCGACGTCGTATAGAAAATAATGGTACCTTCCAACTTATTAGTAAATAATAAGATGTCCCTTCAACCTGATAACAAAACATCCCCACTGTTCCACGTAAGTTTGTCTCAAAACGTCTAAAAAGTTAACAAGTATTAACCAACTATTTGAAAAAATATATAATCTTATCGTACCCAGTTTACTCACACAGGAGGAGAATTTGTATAAGGAGCAATAATAGGGTTGGCTGCGTCAATACTAGTCCCATTAGTATACGTTATAACATTTGAGAGCGTGTGTAAACTATTGTTTTTAATTGATATTGAAATCTCTGCTGCTTCGGATAATTTCTTAACGAGGGAAAGAGTTCTAATGACTCCACTTACTGCCACTGATTCAACCATAGAAAAGAAATAAAGAATCTATACAGTAGATAATTGTGATTTGGAAAATAATGTTATTTTATATACGAGGATCTGCATTTCGATGTGTGTAACAGGTAAATTTTTATATACGAGGATCTTCGAAACAGCAAATAAAATAAGAAATATTTTTGTATACAACTGTCCTAAATTACGAATTTGGAAGTTGGCTGAACATAAATTATCAATCAGTGATTAGATCTACAATATAACTAAGTTTTAATAACCCTTTTATTGTTCATTTAACATTAGAATTCCACTGTGTAACAGATAAATCTTTAACCTTACAAGTAGTAATGTTTCAGAAAATGACGCATTTTTTGCGTCTGAAAAAGACAACAAATACTAAAACCAAAATGGGGCGATCTTCAACCATAAATCTTTTAAAACTTATACAAATTCCTAGTTTTGTAGTGTAAGGTAGTATTTTTCCTCCAATTTACAAAAAGAAGTGCTCTTACTAAGCTAATTTTCACGAATTTTCATAATACCTTGTAAACTCTTTGTTAACATTGCAAGTTACTTTTATAATAAAAGAAATGTAAGTATTCTGTTAGTTTCTTGATTTAAAAAGTTTTATGAGCGAAAGGTAAAACTTTCCTTTAACTTAATTAGTTTAAAAGTATTCTTTTAATTTTTTTTATTAAGATTTAATCAATAAATTAATTTTATAAATTTTATGCATATAATTTACTGTCTAGATTTGAATTATTAAGTAAAAGGAATGGAATAATTTTGGATTCTTTTTTTTTTTTATTAGAATATGCGATGTATTAGGTATGTTAACATTCAGTTATCGGTAAAAAAAAATTACAAATAAAAGAAAGGGCATTAAATTACTCTAAATACTATGTCTAGGATCGAGTCCTTAACCGCTGTCTTATTCTTTACGATAGGCATTAGCTTATGATGCACTGGGGAAAGGGAAAAGAAACAGAAAAAAAAACTATTAAAAAAAATGAAAAAATTCTCTAGGTCTTCACCGCGACAGGTAGATTGTACAGCCGTTCTGACACGTCAAATTACGAAGAACTGATAGTAAGTTACCGTTAAACTTCAGGTATCATAAACAGGACCGTTTATCACACCCAGCCAAATCTAAGAAACGGGAGAGTCTAGAAAATTTGTTAGTGTACCGACTGAGTCTGGACAAGCATAACGCCAGATCAGGAATCTTTTCTAATTGATCCTGTAGACAGACCGAGTCAGTTCCTTGAATCTCCCTTTCGTAATCTTATGGAATTTGTTATCTATCATAAGAGGGTAGTGATTACCACGTGCGAATAAATCCGTTAGGTTACCGACTTTTTGGGCTAAATTACTGATCTGAGTTTCCTAATTTTGGATCCTTCAAATAATAAAAAAATTTTCATTCTTAACCACGTGACTATAATTTTTAATTTTGATCGACTAATAATGTATATATGTTGTAGCCCAAACACTACCATGTCCCAAATCAAACTTGGGAAAATCTTATATCCGAAACTTGACCATGTCCCAAACTAACTCAGTCTTAAATGGTAGTTTGAGACGTCTTAAACATTTAAAATTTACTAGTTTTGTTTGGGATATGGTTAAATTTCGGACATAGGATTGTCCCAAGTTTGATTTGGGATATCCCAAGTCGGATTTGGGACATGGTTACGTTTGGGCTACAACATATATATCACGAAATCCGAATTTTATTTGAAGATTTAAATGGCGATAATTGAAATCGTTGTTTGCTACATTAACTGTTAAATTCTTTTACAATAACAAAATACAAACTCATCTTATCTCTATACAATCTGTAAATATACAATCAGTGCTCAAATTTCACGTTAACTCGATTTTTAAGATTTTAGCTTTATACTTAATTAAATATATAAAAATCGTTATATCAAACTTATAAATTTTAGCAAAATAAATTTTTAGTAAATGAGGGTTTGTAATTGTACCGAGTTCTGACTGCATTAGAAATAGGTTATAAAAAAAACTAAAAAAAAAAAAGTTTAAATTTTTGATCAGCGTGGTTTAATAGCGAAGATGAGAAAAAATCCGACATTAGATAATTGAAATAGATTTATAGGAACTTATTTTAACGTTATAGAATCTTACACTTTAGGAACTTCAGAAGAGGGGAAGATATGGAAGGAAATATGTATGGATTTACGAGCCTTCGTGATCTTTTCCAGACATACTAAATCTAGAGCATAATTGTTATACAGTTACTGATAGAGTGATTAAAGAATTATAAACCGTGACATCTAAACTTGGCTAAAAGTTGTTTTGATGCACAGGTCTTACTATCACATTAATTTTCAAAAATCACATAAAAAAAATAAACTTCATTAATTAAAAAGTCTAATAATTTAAATTCTTTATTATTAGTAACCTCTTACAATGTTTAGTTTTTTCGGAATGATTCTTCAGACTTTGCATAACCAAAATATTTTTTATTTACTAGGAAATGGAAACCATTTTAAGTCCGGAGCGCATATTTTTATTTTTATTTTTATTTTTTTTTAGTAATCAATATTTATTTATTATCAATCAATCAAATTTAAGGCACGTACCCGGACAAACGGAAATCGCCACGTGATCATAATGGTTATCTCCTTCGCTTCGCTCCGGACAATAAACTTTAAAGAATATTCATAATTACATATATTTTAAGGAGTACTTTAATACACTGAAAAATGTTTTTTTTTTTTTTAATAAAAATCAAGTACGGTAATGTCTTTATAATAATTACATCAAGAAATCGAAATTTAAATTGAAATATCAACAAAAAAATTGATTAGAAATCCATATTTTTTTTGCATTAAAAGATGAATAAAAAGTAATGGAATTTAAATTTTTAATCGCAGGCGATTGTCATTGCACCAGCATTATGGTAGAATTTTGGGCAAAATTAAAAATGGAATGAATTAACAAAATTCCACTCTAATGCTGGTGCGGTGATCACCTGTGAACAAATACTGTACATAGTACTATATCAGTAAATAATTAATAAAAAAAAAGGAGAATTGCTGATACTCTATTCATTTAAAAAAAAAATGCTATTTGAAAAACTAATTAATAAAACTAAAAATAATCTACCACCAAATACAATTAAGGAGCATGCCCCAAAAATTAAAAAAAAAAAAAAAAAGTTTATAGTAAATAAAAGAACCTGCCCTCTAACATGTTTTACCTTGAAAAAAACTCATTCTATAAAAAAAAATCAATGAATAAAGAACCCCTAAAAAATTTCAATACCGAGACTATCAACACAAAAGGACGTCCTGAGTTCGTCAATAAGAAACCCTTTATCACTAAACAAAAAATCAAGAAAGAAATTAAGAAAACAAACATACCCCATCACAAACATGATTCTTACCTCAAGGAAGTCCTGCTGAGTTCGTCAAATTATCACGGATTTCAAATTAGTGTGATCAGGTGATTTGTCTAGTGCTCCGTACGTACGGGTCGAGTCAGGTCAGATTTGAGAGATTTTTGAACTCCCGACGTATTCATGTAACTCGGCCCTTATATTTGGGTCAATCATTTACATAATCCAAACTCGATTCGATCCGATTATAGTTTAACTCGATCAAACTCGAGTTTGCAGTATTCTTATTTGCTTTAGCTTTTTACAGTTTTACATATATGTAAAATATGTCTTTTTGGCTTGCCTTTAATGTTTTTNAACCCTACATAAANAAATAATATNGTTAATATATTGGTACNCAAATGAATGCTTTACATAATTTTATAGTTAAAATTCTTAAAATCTTAGAAATTTGCAATAAAAATTATGCTGCAACATTTTGTGCAATTATAAAGAATGTAAAAAACTTTCATTTATCGATTTAAGTGGATATTGTATGGTTTTTTTTTCGTATTATATTTATATAATATTTATAAGAAATGACATTCACTAATGATATACAGTATATATTTTTTTGTTACACTGCAGTTTGACAGGAAACCAAAATTCAATACAATACATGTGAATCCTTATGAACTCTAAAAATCCTACAGAAAATCTGTAATCGAGATTTTTTTGATTACCGAATTTTGCAAATATGTATAAAGCGGGTTCATTACGGAACATCTGGAAATTTTTTTGCCGAGAACTTACCTAAACATGTGATATGCGGCCAATTAAGTCCCGCTCGACTTATGAAATGTAAAATATCGAAAAAATTCGGGNTAACATACAAATGATTTCACGACCGAGTATATAGAGAGCTTAGTACATGTATGTATGAATGCGTTTTTTAAAGGAGGTGAACTGTACACGTAAGTGACAAATAGTACAGACGATCTATAGGATCCCCTAAAATAAGCAGATGTAATACACGTGACTTTTTATTAATTATTTAAAATTTAATAAAAATATACTCTGTTCCGCATCGGGGAATCGAACCCCGGCCGTCGCGGTGAAAGCGCGAAGTCCTAACCACTAGACCAATGCGGATAAATTATTTATTTTTATTGAAATTTTATGTTATTCGTAAACATAAAATTTTTATGCGCAGCAGTTGTTTGTTTCACGCCGCAGCCGCAGTGTTCGTAATAATTACATGCGCATTGCCCATCCCTAGTACGGAGTTCGGACCATTTAGGAAGCTTTTTCTCTCTCAAACAGCT